GCCCTATCAGCACTGTGGGGGTCCGGTGTCCGAGAACGCCCGACCTCCAGACCCCCTGCCATCGATGAGCGGGTGGGGGGGGGGGGCGGGGACGGGGGCTCTGGCGTTCCCAGAACGCCCGACCCCCGACCTCCATTGTTCCCGACGAAAGGGATCGGGGGTTCTGGTGAACGCCGGACCCCCTTCTCGGAGACGACGGGGGTCGGGCGTTCTGGGAAACGAGGGTCGGGGGTTCTGTGAACGCCGGTGGAGCCCTGTGTCTGCACCGTTTTCCTATAGGGGCATCGGGGGTTCTGGGAACGCCGGACCTCCTTTCATAAATGACGTTCGGGGGTCGGGCGTTCTGGGAACGGCGGACCCCCTTCCATAAACGACTGTCGGGGGTCGGGCGTCCGGGGAACGCCGGACCCCCCTTCCGGAGACGTCGGGGGTCGGGCGTTCTGGGAGCGCCGGACCCCCTTTCATAAACGACGGTCGGGGGTCGGGCGTTCTCGGAACGCCGGATCCCCTTTCATAAACGATGGTCGGGGGTCGGGCGTTGTGGGAACGCCGGACCCCCTTTCATAAACGACGATTGGGGGTCGGGCGTTCTGGGAACGCCGAACCCCCTTCCATAAACGACTATCGGGGGTCGGGCGTTCTGGGAACGCTGGACCCCCCTTCCGGAGACGTCGGGGGCTGGGCGTTCTGGGAACGCCGGACCCCCTTTCAGAAATGAGGGTCGGGGGGTCGGGCGACGGACCCCTTTCCAGAAACGAGGGTCGACTCCACATGCGAAGCGCTTCTGTTTGTTCCTCATTTGTTCCTTTGTTTGTGCCCTCTGGGTCAACCTGCTGCTTCGTCCTCTCGGGCATATGGCAGGTCAAAAATCTACAACAGCAAACCATGGGCTCTGGACAGGGTTGGTGGTCTGCATAAGCCTGGGTGTGGGGCTGTCGTCTTCTTGAGCGACGACAATGGTGCGACGTGATACTGTTGTGGGGGTGTTGAGAAATCTGAGAGCGCCAGGAATACCTACGACGGGCGGTCGTTCAGGACCTTCTTTCTTACGTCAGTTTTCGACAAGGATGGCACAAATTGGGTCAAGGAAGACAAGAAGGTCGGCCTTGACTTGCGGCTCTTTCAAGGCTACGACGTCAAGGCTTTTTCCATGAAAGCGTTTGACGTGCGCGGGGACGGCACCGAGCTTCGCATGCTTACTGCGGAACAGTTCCTCAGTAGAACGAACGGCTACTGCATCACTGGCTGCCTTCCTGTCGTAGAAAGTTCCTTGGAGCTCACCAAACCCTAGTGAAATTCAGCAGCCCGGCGGACCAACTGCCAGGCGTTGTTAAGGAATACAGGGAAGCCTTCTCGAGGCTGCCTTTGGACCAGCAAGCCGACTGCGCTTTCGTGCCCTTTGTCACGAGCTCGAGGAAATTGCGACAGACGCCATCCGCGCCGGTTGGGAAGAGAAAAAAGTTGGCTGCTTGTCCAACTCCGCCTTTGCCAGCCGCATCGCCCTCGCCCTTGCCCTCATTGAGGGAAGGTCACGATATCGCTCAATGTTCCAGCGAGGCAACGGAGTACGATGACAGACTTCTGTACGGACGCAATGCTGCGCGTGATAGTGTCCAGGAAGGTGCGACTGCCTTGACTGAGCGAAACGAGGAGGAAGAAGATGGGGGAAGCTGCGGTCCGCGTGAAGACGACGGTGATGACGAGTTTATGGACGTTGGGGATGTGAACATGCAGGACCAAAACATGCTTGGTGATAACGACGTCGGTGTCACGTCGGAGCATGGCCCTGGCGACATCCTCACCGGTTCTGTGGGAGCGGCTGCTGGTCGGCCCTTGTCGTCCCCTACGATATGGCATTCGCAAGGCGGTAGTCAGGGTGGGCATGACTCGCAGGAGCACGGAGGATCAAAGTCGAGGAAAAGTACAAGAGAAACTTCTCCTTCTGCTTCCACTCACAAGAGACAAGCGAGGACTGATGCTGTTAACGAGGCTCGTTGAGCTCTGGTGGCATCCGAGGAGGCAAGACCTCCTCGGAAGAGCAGCCAGGGGGGAAGATCTGGCGGTCGTGGCGGCGGCCGTAGTGGCGCAAGAAAAGGTAAGCAGATAGTGAGGGCAGAAGAACTACGGGACTCAGGGGATGAGAGCGAGGGAGTGGGCCCTCGCATGCCCGACGATGGTGATGAACCGCTTCAGCACGCTGCGCCCATTGACACGACGCGTTGTTTCTTCCTCAAGTACGATGAGCGGGGTTTTGCTAAGCAAAAAGTCCTTGTTCTTGTGGACGTCATGAAAATCAAACGCATTCCCCACGAGAATATTCTTTTCAACCACCGCTCTCTGTCTGCGAACATTGTGCGAGGCATCGAGAATGCCATCGAGAGTTTCATCACCACGGAATCGGGGGTGTGGGATAGGCCTAAGCTCGTACTTGCGCCGCTTGACCGCAACGACATCGTTGGCTGGCAGGGAAGGCCAATAACATTCGAAAGAGACTCCTCGGAGTTTGATTGGTATGCTGTCTGTGGTCAGCATACGGTCGAGGCCATGAAGACATTGGTAAAAAATGGTTCTCCGGCAGTCGACGTCTATGGCCTTGGCGCGTACTCTAAGGTGCGGGTCGTCTATTTTGGAGATGACCAGACGCGAGGGTATTTCAATGTCTCCGCCTTCGACAACACACGCGAAAATCGGGCCATGATGTTGTCGTTCGAGGATGCTCTCCGTGATATGAGGCAATGGTGGATTGATAACCATCGAATCGAGGCCCCGAAAGGCAAGGTCGGCGATAAGGATGCGATCGCCGTTGCGCACTAAAAGAAGTGGCAGAATTTCTTATGGGCCTCCATGGGGAAGGCATGCGACAAGGCGTTCGTGAAGCAAGCGCTCGAGAATGAGTACAGTAAGGATTGAAGCAATAAAATCCGTGGCTACATGAACCTCGCCACATCCACCGAGGCTGTGTGGCCACTGGTCGAGAAGTTCTTCGAGATGTTCAACGAGATGAAGCTGTCAGTTGGCGATGGTAAAATACCGCTTGACATGCCGGGTAGGATGGAGGGGCGCCAGCCAGGCCCGTACACCAACGAGACGAAGGGGCAAAAAACATTATACCATTGCATATACGCGAGAGATGGTCCCAAAGGCTCCACCGTGTCGTGAAAGGATCTCTGTCCTTCCTACTTCAAAAATTTTGGGGATTTGACGTGCCGCGAGAGGGAAGTTGCACTGCTCCTCCTCATGAAAGGGAAGGTGGTCGCGACGAACGTCAAGGTCATGCCTCCGAGAGTGAATACGGAGTGCCTTCTCGACATCATGCGCAAGGAACGGTACATGGTCTGTATGTTCAACTACGTTGTTTTTCGCACCGAGGGAAGGGCGGATGATGAATGGAATGATGCCTTCATCATGTCATACAAGGACCTCGAAGATAGGTATGGGCCGAACGGTCTGTGTGCAGCTGAATGGGAGAAGGAACGGGACAAGCTGCATGTCAGCAAAGTGAAGACGGTCCCTCGACGGCTTGGAGGGGTGGAGGAGGCAAGGCAAGGATCAAGCTTGGGCCCTACGGCGGCAATGTATAAGGAGGCTCCGTTCCACTTTAAGGTGTTTGTATACACCTCAATCGATAAGCTAGATATGCTTCGGGCGGAGGTCAAACGGGTCGCCTCCAGCGCACGTCATATCGTGTGGGATAAACTTAAAAAACAAACAATATTGCTACCGGTGTGCATGCCATTGAAGGAAGTGCTGGCTGCGCCAGACGACATCGTCGCAGCGGCGCAAAAAATGACCTGCAGGGCCGTCATCCTTGACATCTCCCCCGCCAACTTCTGCACGATATGGACCTCTCAAGAGTTCGACGCTCTGCACTCTATGATGACTAAGTGCTGTGGTGTTAATTGGGTTCTTTTTGTCTTCGCATTGCAGAAGGTGCAAAGTGATGTTCTGCGTTGCTTATTCCGGTGGGAGGACATCGAACTCATCCTGGGGACCTGGAAACGGGTGAACAGACCATCGAATGACATCACGAGGTACGACAATATCGCTACGGCGAGTCGAGACATAATGGTCATTGTCCTGCACGCGGAGGGAGGGGATCTCAGAAAGGTCACGGTCGCACCCCACCTTATCAATGACCTCACAAACGTGCATGTTGTGGAGGAGAAGTTCGGGAAGTGTCTGGGGAAACACGGTGGCATAGAGGGCGATGAAAGTGTGGTGTATTCCATATAGGAGCGAGAGCCTGACAAGTTGCGTTCGTTGTGCGGGTCATTCGTTGGGGAGGCGGAAGGTGTGCTTTTATTGGGTAGGGCACACGCGGGTCTTGTGTGGGAATTCTTACTGGCAGGGAATAATGTCATTGCCTGTGACGAGTCGGCAAAGGACATTGCATACTTGACAAAATTCATCAATATACTTGTCAAGGACGACAAATTCAACTGCCACGTCGAGAAACCGCATTGCGAACATCGCCCGAACAAGGACATGTTCCACAAGTTGGGGCCTAAGAGACTGAAGGTGTGGGAGTACCTGTTCCGCGATATGCCACAAGGACGGCTTGACGGGAAATATATATACAGGAAAGCAATGGCAACAGAGACCCTCAAAAATTATCACGGTGCTCTCACTGGCGCCTTTGAGACTTTTGTTGCTCGATGCGAGATCCTCAAGTTCGATCTTCGCAAAGACCAATTGACGTCCAGGGACTACGCGGAGCTCGTGAAATCGGGCGATGGCTTTAACCCCGTCGATAGCGAGGAAGATTCTTCGGACTCCGACCTCGAACTGGGCGAGGACACATGTCCTGAGGTCCATCGGGATGGAAGGGTCCATCCCGGTGGCCGCCCCAAGCGTCACCTCAGTGGTGGCCCCGTCGGAGACTGCTGCATTGCAAGACATTGGAAGATGCGGTGGCAATGAAGAAGACAACATTGAGATACCAGGCGAGGCGTCGACGCTCGCACCAGGCGATGCAATTCCTCCAGGCTACTGTGCTGACCCGAACACGATATATTTCTTGGAGGGCAAACACACCCACACAGGCGAGGATCAATGGGGCCATGACACCATATGGCATGAGGGCGTTTCACAGCCGTGCATCCAAGATGGGGAGTGGAAGATGATGGTGAAATATACAAGCGGTTGGAAGACTTTTCGTCGGATGTCAAAGGACATCTGGTTGAAAACGACAGAGCTCACGATCCTGCATCGCGTGCGCATCGAGAATCTAGGGCAGAGCGAGGCCGCCATTAAAGCCAAGGCCGAAGAATTGTTTCATGTCTTGCGCGACAATCGACAACTGGAGTACAACAACATATTTTATGCCCTGCGCTCGAGTCCCTCACGCGGGTCAATCAACTGGAATGTTGATCAAACCGCGAGAACCTAGGAGGGGAGCTACTCTCATGATTTAATGCCTTTGGCTGAGCCGGCCTCCGTGGCCACGCAAGCAGGGCACAGGGGAGATGACGGGACTACTGTTGTCGGGCCTCAAGAGGTTGACGTGACGTCAATGCCGCAAATATTGGAAAAATCCATCTCGGTCGCCGCGGCACAATCGTCCCCACCCATCGATGTGTCAACGACGTTGCCGCCGGATGCAGATGCCACGTCCGGGAGTTTATTGATAGCAAATGCTGCAATGCAAGGCAGATCCGAGATCGAGTCAGAATCTGATGTTGGGCCGAGCGTGGCGGAGAGTCAGTTGCAACCGTCTTTATGCACTGGCAAAGGTGATGCACAATCACCGCTGACACCACAGGGAGGGGCCGGTGGGGATGGCGGGAAGGGAGGGGATGTGGAGGGAATGCACCGTTCTCGCAACCTCGACACCTTAACCGCTGATATTGATTAAAAGGTTGAGGGTGGGTGAGGCGGGAGGGGTGCAATTGGAGGGGGAAAATCCAGTGATATGATTACAACTTCACCTCTGCCTTGTTGAACGAAATTGTGTAATTGACTCGGTTCATTGTTTTGTTTAAAACAGACTTCGTATTAGTCTCCGTAGGCACCACTTCTACATCGTTTTTCCATTTATGTATATATATTTTTTTTCACCTCAAATTTTGAATAAACCTGAGATGTTTAGATTGGCTGTCCGTCTTGACGTCCAGTAACAAATCGTGGTGGGAGCGTATGTGTGGTATTGTACATCTCTCTCTCTCTCTCTCTCTCTCTCTCTCTCTCTCTCTCTCTCTCT